AATCTAAACTGTTTTCACCCTTCTTTTTGGTATTCACAGGCTGGAGTTGATTCCTGCTCAGTACTGGGGTAAGGAAGTGTCACCTCCATTTGTCAGCATTCCACTGCGAGCTCCGTGTGTGCCACACCATTCCTACAGTTAAACCACTGGGAATTTCCAGCCCAAGCAAACTTGAACATTTGAGTACTTTCTAATCCAACTTTTTAAAATCACAGTAGAAGAAATGCAGAGTCTGTGACATGAGTCTCATGTGCTTTCTTTTCACCTTGGGAAGAAGATAAATTAGCCTCCACCTTCAGAAATATTTGTCAAGTAGTTACATTTTAATCCTAATTTATTTCTGTCTAAATCCAGCAAAGGATTTAAGCATATACTTCTGCTAAAGATGTGAATTAGCCCAGTAATTCCATAGTTAAGCATCATACAAGTACATCATACAAGCTCCTGATGGATCCTTTTCAATTTCTTGTCAGAAAGAGTTTGACTTCTGTTGTGTGTAACAGGTTCATTTTATCTGAAACACCATCTACATGCTGACTATTGCAAAAATAGCACTAATTTGTCATAACCACTGCAAGCTGGACAGGCCAAATGAGCTTATCTCAGTGCACATTTCTATCAGATGTTTTCAATGTAACCTGAAAACAGTACAATGGAAAATCAGGTGTATCATCCACCAATTAAACACAAACAAAACACAGTTTGTTTTGTAACTCTTCTTTAAAACAACAGATGTTAGGTTAAATCTCATGTTCAGGCATTTATCACATCTGCTTACTGTTCCCTTGGAAAATGTACTCACAATAGAGTTCAAATTAATTACAATGAGATTTGTCAGTTGAAACCTAAAAGGGAGTTCAGGGAATAAACATTTAATTCTAGAAGGAAATAATTGGTGTTTAAAAGCGTTAAACTTGTTTTCGGTAGGTTCACATAGGCAAAGCTCCATTACAGACAGTGTTTGAGACCTGTTGTAACCTTCATGGTGTCTCCAAGGAGATATGAGGCCAGAGGAAGAAGAGATGAAGAGAAGTCTACAGGGCTGTGGAGCCCGAGGGTGCAGGCTATGGACCTGCAGCACAAGCTGCAGAAGCCATGATGCACCCACAGCCTTCCCTGGCAACAAGAAACACTTCTGACCTTAAAAATTAATAAATCTTCACTATTCTCTCATAAAACTGGAGCCTGCCAATGCATAGGCACTGAGGAGGCTCTAGTAAAGAACTTGCATAATCACCTTTTTCTACCTTAACAGCTTTTATGAGAACATAGAAAGGTCTCCCTCACCTTCCAAGTCTGGAGAGACCTGCAGGATGCTATTGATAAAGACAGTTCTTTAGCTCAAAAGGAGTAGAATTTGACTCAATTATCCTGCATCCTAACAGTACAGAAAAATAAAAATATTGCTTTGAAGAAAAGGGTTTCATTGCAGCAAAATTACATACATCTAATAAGGTATAATCTAAGACTTGTCATTCCTATAGGTATCATTTTTTCTGTAGCAGCTCTTAGTTTAATTCCTGGAAGGTAAGACAGCTTTCATCAGGCCCTAAAACAGTTCTCTTGACAATGTCCCTGGCCTCTTGTAACTGTATTGAAATATTAACACACATATTTTTGGCCAAACAACACCTCTTCCTTTGAGAGACTCCTCTACCCTCACACAGCCTCTCCCAGTCCATTTACACACTCCCTGCATTGCCCTCCCAGTTCCACCTTTGCTATCTTCCAGGCGTGTTACTCACAGCAGCGTGTTGCCACAACTCAGCATTTGGCTCTTCCCAACTCCCTCAGTAAATGGCGTTTGTCTCTTGAAGTCAGCAGTGCATTGTTCCACCACCCCAGGGGATGGGGGTGTGTGTGACTAACTTGTCACTCCATCCTCCTGCCCCCAGGATCACTATCTAGCTGTTTAGGAAGGCTCATTTCCTCAGAAAAAAAAAAAAAAAAAGAAAGCTAACCAAGTTCAAGTGCCTCTGGAATTTTAAAGTGAAGTACATCCACCTGCTATGGTTATGTAGCATGTCATGATAACAATAAACTGCTCTTAGGAAAAGAATAAACATCATTCGCTGTCTAAGCATGTGGCTGTTTAGGAGAAGAGCTTCAGGAGCTGCTCTCAAGGCTCCAGAGGCTTCTGTCTGTTAATTCAGCAGCAGAGCAGTGCCCTCCTCACTGTGCCCCTGGTGTTACACATAAATGTCATTCCTTTAGAAAATAGCGAGAAACTTAAAAATAAATACCTATAAGTAGAAGCAAGCATTGTGGTTAGTTTTGAATTGGCTTTATTGACATTTCTGTCAGGGCTTCTGTTACTGCACAATTCAGAGAGCAGAACAACCAAATTCATTTCATTTAGGCCAAAAGTGGTTTGAAGTTGTTTGAAGGACAAAACCCCCCCAGATACCATTTACACACAGAACACAAGAACAATGTTCACCTTTACTTTGGGCCCTTAATTCTGATATATGACAAAATATTTCACTAATTTTACTTCAGTGAAGCAAAAGCAAAGCAGATGTGGAAACCCAGTTCATCCTGGTTTAGAAGCTCTTGGTGCAGCAAGGCAGAAAAGTTCCTCAAGAAGCTTCAGTTAAACCAACTGAGGTTTGAGGAGCGGATTTACTTTCTGTGGTCTCTCCTTTTGCAGGGCAGGAGAGAGGGAACCATTAGTGAATGTGAACAAATTTCCCAGTTTTCCTCCCTTTGCAACAGAAACATCACATGCATCAGAGCCTCCTGTGAGGCTCTACTGAGAGTTCCAGATGGGAAGAGAGGAGAAGATTCTTACTACAATCAGCTCTCCTCAGCACACCAGCAGCTACCTGAACCCTGGAGACAATTCCAGCTCTGAGGAAACATGCTTCTATTGTAGAAACAGCCCTCTCCAGGGAAGCCCGACTGCTCAGGATGTTCAAAACCAGGCCAGACTTAAAAGTGGCAGCAGCACAACAGAAAATAGATGGCAGAGGTTCTTCCTTTGCCTCCAGCTTCTCGTGGCATTTCACTGTTGTTAACTGGAAAGTTGAGAAACTCATAGTGCTGCAAACTCAACGTGGCACTTTTTAACCATCACTCGCTCCACTGCCATCCCCTTCTTTTGTGTTTTGTTGTGCTGATGAGCTTCACTTAGCTTCCAAACAGTGGCTCACGCTTCCAGCCCTGCTGATACTCCCCCCAAGAAAACGCTCCAGGAAAAATCACTTCTCTTTCCGGAGGCAACAAAAGATCTCTTTCCTCCTCAGGTCTGTTGCAGAAACATGAGAAGAACTTAAAAGAAAAAAAAATAAAAGGTTCTATAGCTGGAGGAAAAAACAGACAAAGCTGAATTCACAAGACTTTGTACCACATAATCACCCCCACATACACTGCTTTATACACTTCTGCTGGTTATTTGAATGAATGCTTTAGAAAATACTATTTTCAAAAGGAATACATCCACATAAAAGCTGTACAACCAGGCTCTTAGCTTCACGAAGACATTCACTGAAAAAGCAGAGAAAAATAATATTTTTTCTGGCATGTTTAACCTGGGAAGGTGGACAGCAGTTTCAGTACCGTTCAAAAAGACCTATTAAGCATTTAAGCACATTAATAATCTTATTGACTCTCTGAGCAAAGTACTCAAGTCCTCACAAGACCAGAGCCTTGCTTCCTCCTGGTTGTGTTTTCAAACAGAAGCTAAACTTCTTTTCAAACAAGACCATGGAAATCCAAAGGTGCAGAAGTCGTTACTTAGTCACCTGATTGTTCACCATTATCCACCCCAAGCAGTCGGATGTTTTCAGAGAGTAAGGATCACATCTTTATTTACTTCTGTAAGCCACCTACTGTATCTTGTGTGTGTCCCATCAGACACATGCACATCCCTCGTGGCTTTCCCTGGCAGCCTCAGAAACCCAGGGGTTTCTTCCAACTCACAGTGCTGGTCTGTGGGGCTCAACCTACACACTTTGGGTGAAAAGACATCTTGTTTTCTGCTTAGTAGGCGTGCACTGTAATGAAACATCTGCTTTATCACTAAACCATGACCTCCTGGACATATCCATATACTCACACCTGGCCAGCCCCCTCAGTAGCGCAAAGGACAGGGCTCAATCACCCCAACGCAACAAGCCCAACTCTACATCCTTTATCCTGGGACTATGTACTGATGTACACAAGCCTTATGGAATGGGTGAAGAAGGTTTTAGAAATTCTGATTTCCCTTCAGCATTGTCCTGCGGGAGCCGTCCACGGGGGCGTCCCTGCTGGAGCATGCATTGTGTCATTGCTGGATTACGGCAGTGTCCCCGCCGGAGCAGGGCTGTGTCCCTGCTGGAGCAGGGCTGTGTCCCCGCCGGAGCAGGGCTGTGTCCCCATGGGAACAGGGCAGTGTCCCCGCCGGAGCAGGGCTGTGTCCCCGCTGGAGCAGGCAGTGTCCCCGCTGGAGCAGGGCTGTGTCCCCGCTGGAGCAGGGCTGTGTCCCCGCTGGAGCAGGCAGTGTCCCCGCCGGAGCAGGGCTGTGTCCCCGCCGGAGCAGGGCTGTGTCCCCATTGGAACAGGGCAGTGTCCCCGGTGGAGCAGGGCTGTGTCCCCGCTGGAGCAGGGCAGTGTCCCCGCCGGAGCACAGCTGTGTCCCCGCTGGCCGGACCGTCCTTCACCCCGCGCACTGCGGGGAGAAGAGGGGCACAGTGCAATATTAACCCGGCTGTGCGTTTTGATGCCGCGGACACAAACGCGCAGCGCTGGATGAGCCCCTGCCTCCCCAGGCGGTGTGAAGCCCAGCCCAGGGCTGCAGCCAGGCACGCCGCTGACCGCCCTCGCCTCTGCCCTTCTCCATTCACTCGTGCGCCAACTTGGATGAAAAACCCCTTTTCCCCTTCCTGCTGCTGCTGCGGGGCGAGCCCGCTGCCCACCGGGGAGGCGGCGGCTCCCGGCGGAGCTCCCCGCTCGCCGCCGAGCGTGCGAGGGGCGGCCCGTGCGGCGGAGCGAGCGCCGGCAGCGGGGACAGCGGGTCCATGGAGCACAACCACCTCCACCTCCAGAACGGCTCGCTCCTGGCGCACCACCGCTATGGCTGCGGCTTGGGGTACGCACCTGTCGTCTACTACAGCCTGCTGCTCTGCCTCGGGCTGCCGGGTGAGTGCCGCGGGACGGGCGAGGCTGCGGGGCCCCGGCTCCTGCCCGCTGTGCGGGGCGGGGGGAGCGCCCGCGGTGTCCTCGGGATGCCCCGGGCTCCGCGTGCCCGGCGGGATGAGCGCGGGCGCTTCGGAGAGCAGCATTTCCCGGACAGCAGCATCCCCTGGATAAGAGCATTTCCCGGAGAGCAGCATTTCCCGGATAGCAGCATCCCCCGGATAGCAGCATCCCCCGGACAGCAGCATCCCCCGGATAGCAGCAGCATCTCCCGGACAGCAGCAGCATCTCCCCGCCCGGCGCGCTGCCGTCCCGGCGCTGCCTCCCTCGCCGGGGTTTCTCCCTGCCTGCCCTCGCCGTCCCCCCGGCTTCGGGCATCCTGACTCTGAACTTGACAGACAGAGTCAGCCTGTCGTGAAGTTTGTGCCATTGTCGTTCTGGCCATGCGAGTACCAGAGCGGTGCCCAGACGGGTCACCACCGATCGCCTGCCCGGCCGGCGGTGAGCACAGGTGTAGCTGCTGAGTTTTTCTGCTGCAAATCCCCACCCGACTCCGTGGGGCAGGGCTGGCTTTAGGAAGGGACATGCCACCACCACGGAACTTGACTGGGGAAGGAGCACGCTGTCAGGAGCTTAGCAGACAGTTGTCATACTCGTGAGCCTGTCCCCGTGGCTGGTGGAGCAGGACAGGAGGTAGAAAGTCCGGTCTTGAGGTCAGTGCACTGCAAAGGCAATGGCAATGCTGACGCTGAGACCCCTGAATGCAGGTACAGGGCTCAGAAGAAAGTCCCAGCTGACAGGCACCAGTCTCCAGAGTGTATAATCCTGAGCAAAATTTCCTGCTTAAAAAGGGGACAAAGACATTATAGAGATGCTTGGAGTGGGAAAGACTAGAAACAGCATAAATAAGGAAGGAAAGGTTGTCCCGAGCTGGGATGTGAACACCTGTGAGGCAGCACTGCCAGCACACAGCCCCAAAGGTGCAGATGCCACAGGAGCATCACATGGGCAGTACTGTCTGAGCTGAGACAGGCACTGAGCGGCTGCTGCCTCCCGAGGGGGCTGCCAGTGAGATGCCCGGGCACGCAGGACCGAGGGGAGCTGCTGCAGTCACAGTGGGCAGAGCTGCCATCCCAGCACAGCTTGGGTGGACAAACAGCGTGTCTTGCTCACTGGCTTAACACCTCCAGCCTGAGAGTGACTTAGAGTGATCCCAAGGACAGGGAGAGTAAGTTGGGAAAAAGTTCTGATGCACCAAGGTGAATTGGTATTTGAAGGGTGTGGTAAAGGAGAGTTTGCTTGTGTCTGTGCAGAGCTACACATTTTAAGTGCTGTGTGGAATGGCAAGCAGCAGTGATAGGTAATAGTCTACAGTTTCTAAATGCTTGTCACCTCAATTCCTTCTTCAAGCAATTATTTCATAGAAAAAATTTTAACAGACATGAAGAGAAGCCTGTCTCTGAGCAGCATGCATGCAATTACCACTCTCTGTATGAATTGATGTGCTTTGTGTTGTTTTGGTTTGGGGCTTTTTTTCCCCCATTTCTGGCTTATAATTAAAATTTGCTGATTGGCTGTTTCAGAGAACTGGAAAGTTAAGTCCTGCATTTACCCACAGAGGATGCAGGGCACAGGCAAGTATCTGTGCTCCAAAACATTGATGAGTCTCAGCCCTGACCTGAAGAGTTCCAGCCAGCAGGGATAGGAGGTCGTTTCCTCTTTATTAATTCCTCAGGGGCTGCTTAGATGTCCGTAGTAATCACAGGCTCTGATTTCAGCACTAGTCCCCTAAGAACTGAGCAAGAACCTCTCAGGATTATCAGGTGAAGCAGTAGTCATGAAGCACTCTGTGGCTAAGCTTGCCTTTGTATGTTTCTGAAATGGGGAAAAGTCTTGCGTGCACAGACAAGAAAAATAATTAATGAACATTCTGCACATACTTGCACCAGCTCCCTGAGGATACTGCATTGTAATTACAGACCTAACACTGTCATTCTAAGAACATGGTTAAAATCAGACGTGGTCCAAATTAGCAGTGGTCTGCTGCATTTCTCAAGGGATCAGACATCACTTGATTAGAGCAGTGGCACCAGTGCCAGTGCTTAACAGAACTGGCCAAAGCAGGTGGTGGTGCTGAGTTCAGTGGGCTTAGACCAGTTGTGGATGTGTCCAGAGCACACTGAGGACAGCATTGGAACTGACAGTGGACTCACTGCACATGTACAGAATGCTGAGTAAATGCACAGTGTGCCGAGTGCATGAGAAATTCATGAGACTGCCCAGAGATGGGAACAAGCTGGATGTGCTTAGGGGAAGACTCACACAGGCAGGCTTCATTGAGGATGGGGTACGGGGTGACACCAGTGTTAAAAAGAGCTTTTCATGTTTTGATTTGAAGCTGCTCTTCAGTTTTTTAACATTAGAAATTTGTAAAGGTAGCAGACTTTATTGGCTGTTAGGATAAGAGTCCTGAACTGTGTGGGATCTTAATTAGCTCAGTGTGATGCCAAGAATTTAAGAGAAACCCTGTCTGGTATCTGTCCTCAAACACAGCACTAGTGCAGTGTTTTGCTGAAATGGAAAGAGTTAACTCCTTGCCACAAATCTTGGAGAAAGACTGAAGAGAAGAGAAGCCAGTTAACTGTTTCTACCTTTCCTGCTGTACTGTCTGAAGGAAATTTAACTAACTCAACAACTCCACGTTGAGGCCAAGCGCTGCCAGGCCTGGCTGTGTGTGCAGCAGAAGCATCCTCTGCTCCCACCCCTGTATAAACCAGGCACCTCAGCAGACCCTGTTCTCAGCAGTGGCTCCTTCTCCCTCTCTATTCAACCAGGCACCAGAAAGCCTGTAAAATGCAGAGAGGCGAGCACAGTGAGCTCCCTGCCGCCCTGCTCAGCACACAGAGGCAAGGGCCAGGCTGCACCCACAGAGCCACCGCTGCACACTGACCCTGCACGGCTGTACTGCGCACGGGGTGGCTGCAGCTCTGCCAGGGGTCATCGTGCCTTCAGGCAGCTGGGCCAGGAGGTTGCTTCTTTTCCTTCTAAGCAGAGGCTGGTGAGACAGAGACAGTTTTTTGAAACTTGTTTTGAGTGCAGGAGTGTGAAGGTGTCCCGCAGGAAGGCGGTCCTGCTGCCAGGAGTGGGGTGTCTCAGGATAAGGCTGCAGGGAGCAAGGAGAAAGTGCCAGTGCAAGCACGAGGGAGAGGCACTGGAAGTGGGGTTCTCTCCCGTTTAGAGGGGAAGGTTTTATGGAGCATTTATGGAGCTGTTCTGCGGCCCCTGCTCTGTTAACCCTATACTCCCCTTGTCTGTCAGAGAGAACCTTTGAAGCACCTGTGGTTAGCTGGGAGGCAAGAGAAGGGCTGGAAAAAGTCTTAATAGAAGTGTTTCTTGCTTTAGTGAGAGAAAATATTAGGGAAGGGATGGTGTTGGGTGTGGAGGAGGGAATAGATTGCTCTGATTCAGTCCAAGAGGGGGCTGGTAAAGGTGAGAAAGCAAAGATCAACAGGTACCACTCTCAGTCGGTCCCTTTGTCAGTGAGAGCTGCACAAAGCAGCTGCACCAAAGAGCTCCTTCTGTGGTGGGGCCACTGAGCACAACCAAGAAGATCAGGCACAGAAGCAGCACTGCTTGCTGCAGACACCTGGCTTTGACCTTGATTCCTGCTTCCTTAGGAGGAGCAGCAGCAATGGAGTTGCCTTGCATGTGGTCGCTTTTCCATCAGGAATAGAGTGTATTGCTGCTGAAAGGACAGAGCATCAGCATTTCCTGGATCAGGGTCTGGCCTGATCCAAGTTCCCAGGGCTCATCTCCTCCTGACAGTGTGAGAGGCAGAATGAAATCTGGCTTTCTTAGCCAGTCCCAGAGGGATTGCTGGTTCCATTTGCTCCCCAGTCAGTTGCCTACCTGGGATGTGCCTTGGCTCTGGGGATCATTGCATCCCAGTGACACAAAGCACAGCACCTTTACAGCATCTCCAGGAGGCAGCAGACTCACAGCAATACCCCAGAGAAGTGCCACTCCAAACTCAGGAGCCTGGTCCACAACTGCTTCTTGTATTTGTGCTTTAGGTTTTTGCATTAAACCAGTCACACTGATCTAAATGTAGATTCAGGACTTCACAAGCTTGGGAAAGCAGCCTGGGCATGCTTGGATTCTCCCAGCTGGAAGGTGTGAACAGGTAGAGTTCATGTCAGGCCTGCTGCTGAACAAGGTGACGTGGAGATGGGGACAGCCTGGATCATTCAAAGCCCAGCCAAGCACAGAGTGCATTCCCAGAGCTCCATGTAGGAGGCAGAGAAGCTGCAGTCCTGAGCTGGAGGAACGTGTCAGCTCAGCAGGGATGCCTAACTGGTTTAACACTGTGGAGAGACAGAGACACGTCATGGACCTCACCCTAACAGATGACAGACTGGCTGTCCTTGCACAGCAAGGGTATTGGATTGACACGTGGGTGCACTGTGCCTGTGCAAACTGCAGTATAGGCATAGGCAAGCCGAAAAGATGGAGACCTGATCCTTCTGAAGCCTTCTCTCCATATAAAGTCTGAAATAAGGAGGCTGTCTGGGAGATGTGCATGCCTGGGTCATCATCCTGGCAAGGCAGGCACTGTTGGTGGGCTGAGCACCCCTGATCAGGAGACCACCACCATGCAGCAGCCCAGCTGTGTTCCCGGCACTCCTCGGCTGTGTGGGGTGTTCCCCCACCCGGAGGGCATTGCTGTCCCTGTGCCCACAGCTGGGACACACCTGGTGCCACGAGCAGCAAGGGGGACAGGTAGCAATGTTTGGTGGTGACTCAGGTGGCGTGGAGTAGCAGTAAATACCAAAGCAGGCAGAGGTAGGTGTACACAGAGCACACAGCACTGTAGAAGTGTCTGACTCGTTTTGGATTCTTGCCATCTGCTGCCTAGTATATTCTTCTGCAATCACAGTACAGGTTTCTGATTAAAGAGACCGTTTCCAACACCTGGATAAATAGCCTTTCTCATAGCAGCACAC